TGAAGTATGAAGAATTTCATTTACAAGAAAGAGCCGAATCATATTCAGGAGAGCACGATTCTGAAGTATGAGGAAGTTAAGTTAGCCTTTTCATATTCAGGAGAGCACGATTCTGAAGTATGAAGAATTTCATTTACAAGAAAGAGCCGAATCATATTCAGGAGAGCACGATTCTGAAGTATGAGGAAGTTCAGTTAGCCTTTTCATATTCAGGAGAGCACGATTCTGAAGTATGAAGAATTTCATTTACAAGAAAGAGCCGAATCATATTCAGGAGAGCACGATTCTGAAGTATGAGGAAGTTCAGTTAGCCTTTTCATATTCAGGAGAGCACGATTCTGAAGTATGAAGAATTTCATTTACAAGAAAGAGCCGAATCATATTCAGGAGAGCACGATTCTGAAGTATGAGGAAGTTCAGTTAGCCCTTTTCATATTCAGGAGAGCACGATTCTGAAGTATGAAGAATTTCATTTACCCGAAGGAGCGGAATCATATTCAGGAGAGCACGATTCTGAAGTATGAGGAAGTTCAGTTAGCCCTTTTCATATTCAGGAGAGCACGATTCTGAAGTATGAAGAATTTCATTTACTCGAAGGAGCGGAATCATATTCAGGAGAGCACGATTCTGAAGTATGAGGAAGTTCAGTTATCCCTTTTCATATTCAGGAGAGCACGATTCTGAAGTATGAAGAATTTCATTTACCCGAAAAAGCCGAATCATATTCAGGAGAGCACGATTCTGAAGTATGAGGAAGTTCAGTTTACCTTTTTCATGTTCAAGAGAGCACGATCTTGAAGCATGGAGAAGTTTATTTATCCTTCAGTAAGAGAAGAATCAGAATCGTATTCCAGGCGCCGACCTTAAATGCGAGAAGATTTATTTATCAGATAAGCAGCAGTCTCTTTATTTGAGTGCTTATCCATTTTGGCACATAAGTCCCTTCCAACGATAAGTGACAGTTCTCCCGCGAGAAGCTTATCAGGGCATTTCCCATTAAAGTCCATTTATTTTGGCATACAGCTGGTCTTTACCCTGTATATTTGATACGGATCTCTGAAAAGTCCATTCGATCCCATCACGAAGGATAGTTTATTAGAAGCTTGAATGTTATTCTTTGCTCAATGCTCCAGCATTCTATAATCGATCTTGCAACCGTGTAGATCCAGTTTTATTATTAGACATTCCCTAGTGGAGGTCATCTCATAGGTGCCATCTCCATTTAAGGATCTTATTCCTAAAGTCCATTTATTTTGGCATACAGCCGGTTTTTACCCTGTATATTTGCTACGGATTCCCGAAAAGTCCGTTTGATCGTGTCACGAGAGATAGTTTACAGAAGCTTGGATGTTATTCTTTGCTCAATGCTCCAGCATTCTGTAATCGATCTTGCAATCGTACATGATCCAGTTTTACTTTTAGATTCCCCAGTGGAGGCCGTCTCATAGGTGCCATCTCCATTTGAGAATCTCATTCCCGTTCTAAAAATGACAATTGGTCGTGTTCGCACCAGTTGACCATCATTTTAGAATTCCCCAGTGTTGTACTGTGTCCCAGCGCGTTGTTTTCCCCAGTGTGTTCTTCTCGTAGCGTCTGTCCCTGTGTCATCGTATTCGTCAGCATTTTCGCATTCATCATTCCAGCATACGCATCATATCATATTCATGGCATCGTCTGCATTAGTCTGTTCTCGTTTTGTCTATAGCATTGCATATCGCCACATATAAGGGCAAAATTTTCGGTTATCTATATTTAAATCCCTCTACCATGATTCCTCGAGTCTCCGTCACTCAAATCATCCGGTGTAGATATTTAAATAGGGGCAACTGTAATACCCCAAATTTTACCCTTTCTTTTTTATTTTTATTCTTATTAACTTAATAAATTAACCTTTTTTTTTAAATCTTGTTTTTTTAACTAATAATAATTTAATTAAATTTTTTTTATAACTTTACTAATGTTTTTTTATTAACTTTTTTTTTCTATTTAGTTTATTTATTTAAATCATTTTAAGCTCTTCTTACTAACTTTTAGGATTTAGATTAAAATTTAACTTTTTTTTTTCTTCTTTTCTTCAAGAGTAAATTTTTTATAACTTTTTTTAATTAATTTCTAACACATTTTTTTAATCAAATTCTATTACCTTTTTAAAATTAAATCTTTTTTCTAACTTTTTTTTAAGGTTAAATCTATTTCTAACTTTTTTAAAGTTAAATCTTTTTTTCTAAATTTTTTAAAAAAATCAAATCTTTTTTCTAGCTTTTTTAAAGTTAAATCTTTTTTTCTAACTTTTTTAAAGCTAAATCTTTTTTTCTAACTTTTTTAAAGTTAAATATTTTTTTCTAACTTCTTTTTAAAATTAAATCTTTTCTCTTACTCCTTTTTAAAGTTAAATCTTTTTTTTCTCTAACTTCTTTTTAAAATTAAATCTTTTTTTTCTCTAACTTCCTTTTAAAATTAAATCTTTTTTTCTAACCATTTTAAAAATTAAATCTAACCTTTTTTTTAAAAATTAAATCTATCCTTTCTTTTTTGACACCATCCTTTTTCAAATTAAAATTCTAAATTCCTTTTAAAATTAAATTCCAACCGTTTTTTAAAATAATTCTAACATTTTTTTTAATCAACATTCAAATGTTTTTTATTTTAAAATTCTAACTCATTTTTTTAAACTTAAAATTCTAATTTTTATTTAACTTGAAACTCTTATTTTCTTTGCTAACTTTTTAAATTTAAATCCAACACTTTTTTAATCAAATCCAATCCCAATGAATTCTAGATGGAGCAAAATTAAATCAATCAGATCATATCATCATCATAAGAAAATCAGATCTAAATATCAACATCACCATCATTGAATCAAATCTGAAATCATCATAAAAATTCATTCAAATCAAATCAGAGATTGAAAAAGATTGAGATATTCAAATCAAATCTGAGATTGAAAAAGATTTAAAAATAAAGTATAAAAGGACCCTCAGAAGCAACAAAACGGGGGGATCGACAAGCATAAAAAACTCTTACAGTCTTCATCAAAAGTAACTAACTCTTCTTTTTTTTTTAATTTCTAATCTTTTTATATCTTTTTTCAAAATTTCTACCATTTTTTCTTAATTAAAATTCTAACATGCTAACTCTTTTTTTATTCTAACCTTTTCTCTTTTATTTTCAAACTTTTATTTTTATTTTCTAACCTTTTTTTTAAAAACCAAATTTCGAAGTTCTAATTTTTTTTGCTAACTTTTAATTCTAACTTTTAATCTATTTTCTTTTTCTTAATCACATTAAAAACTCTAACTTTTCTAAATTTCACCCAAAAAAAAACCTAATTCCATTCTAACTCCTTTCTAATTATCTAAATTCTCACCGTCTCAAAACATTCATCACTTAACTTCTAATTATCGTCAATTCCAATTTTCATCCTTCATTCCTAACAATATTATTGATTATCCATGAACATGTTCACTAATATTTATTTATTTATTTTTGTATTTATTTTTATATTTGTACATAATCTGACATCATCGTTGCTATTTCATATTCCATTATCACTTGTATATTATCACTATCTTCATTGCGTATCAATTTTCATTGTTTATTAATTTTTCGCTACCATCCTCCTTTTTAAGATCCAAATTTCTAATTTTCTTCTTGTTTCGTTAAAATTATAATTTTCTACTTAAATTCCTAAAATTCTTGTCTAATTTTTCGTCTAACCCCGTATAATAACAGTCTCTGTTTGTTTTGGTTTTTTGCAGCTGACTAAGTTCAATTGATTTTATTTTAAGTTTAAATATTCAATTATCATATTTGTAACTGCTTATGGGATGTAATTTTGCGAGACAATTGTCGCATTTATCTTTCCGCACTTTATGTTCTGCCATTGTATGTTTATCGCGTCTTTACCAATAATCTCACTCCTCCGAAGGAATTAGGTCTAGCCGTTTGACCGCCGTGTCAATAGTCCTCAACTCCAAACCCTTACAAACTACAAACCCTAATTTTTCACAAATGCCTCGCCGCAGGCAAGATTACAATTTTACCCCTAGCATTAGGTCAAAGAGCCGCCGCGCTCATTTTAGGGTTTCCCGCCGTAGAATCCCTAATTTAACCCTAATTACAACTTAACAATTCAACGTAGAGATTTGGAGTTTCTACACTCCATGTAAGCGTGTCCTTTAGATGCGTTTATTCCCCTTGAGACCTTGACCACAGTCAAGAAGTCTCTAACCTCCCTTTTGAGGGGAACTACGATTACTCTGATTCCACTCCCGTAAGGATACGTAGGCACAAGATGCGATGTCTTGCCGAGTAAACTTAGAATTAACCCCTTAGGTCTTTTTTTCTCACTTTTAATTCCTTTGTACATATACCTTAAGCAAATGAATAAAGCAAATAGTAAACATTTGAACAAAAGGTTCCTGTAGAGTACTACAGAAGTTTAGGGTGCTAATACCTTCCCTAAATTTAACCAACCCCCGAACCCTAGATCTTTCCCCGCATTGTGTTTACAATGCAAAATAGGTTTTCCCTCTTTTGACCTTTTCCTTCGGATAAATCAAAGAGCGGTTGTGAATTGAATTGCGATTCAAACTGATTAATAGTTTGTGATCCTATTTCCACCGCAACATTATGCTAATTGAATGTTAATAGCATTTGAAAAATAGTTATGGTTAGCTAACTGTTAGCATTTTGTTAGGATTGTTAGAGGTTAGTAAAATTGGTTCATTTAACTGTTAGGCTTAGACAACTAGGTGATTAGTTAATGGTTTGAACTTGTTAGAGAGTTTGAACTTGTTTGTTTTATGTGTGAATAGTGATATTAAGTTGTTAGTTATATAATATGTTAATCCTGTGTTTGTTGATAGTTAAATTATTTTATGTGTCAATATTGTGTTAGTTTGTAAATAATAGTGTATCCTTATGTGTTTATACATTTTATTTATTTATAAATGTATTGATGCATGTTTAAAATATTGTAATTAAATTAGACTAAAGGTATGGACAAAGCATGGACTAAACTCCCAAGACACTGGAAGAAGTATAGAAAAGGTGTTAAGTCTTTTTTAGATTTTGCCTATACCACAGGAAGACCTCAAGGACGTGAAATTTCTTGTCCTTGTGCTCATTGTGCAAATTGTAAATGGGAAAGAAGACATGTGGTCCGCAATCATTTAATAGCTGTAGGTTTTGTGAAAGGATATGATGTTTGGGTAAACCATGGAGAGGATATACCATCGCCTATGAAAATTAAGGAGGGCACAAAAGAGCAAGAGAACTCACTTGATGACATTGGTGGTTTATTGTATGACACATTTAGGAATGTGGTTGAAGCAGAGGAAAGTAGTGAAGCTCACAATGAGGATGCGAGAAAGTTCTACAAGTTGATTAATGAGGCAAAATAAGAGTTATACCCCGGATGTGAAAGCTTCTCTACTCTATCGTTCATAATTCGACTTTACTTGTTGAAGTGTCTGCATGGATGGAGCAATGCATCTTTCACTTCCCTTTTAGAATTATTGAAAGAAGCGATTCCAGAATTAAATATTCCTGAATCTTTTAACAAAACAAAGGCGATGATCAGTGATTTGGGTCTCGATTACAAAAAAAATCATGCATGTCCGAATGATTGCATGTTATATTGGAAAGAACACGAGAACAATAACTCTTGCAATATTTGTAAGGCTTCACGATGGAAGGAGTTTCCTCAAGTAGAGAGCGAGTCTTCTGAGCATGCGAAATATGATCATAAAGTCCCTGCTAAGGTTTTGAGACATTTTCCATTGATTCCACGATTTCAAAGGTTATTTATGTGTTCAAAGACAGCAAAGGAAATGAGGTGGCATGAAGAAGAACGCTCAAAAGATGGAAAATTAAGGCATCCTGCGGATGGACAAGCATGGAGGGATTTTGATAGACTTCATCATGACTTTGCTTCTGAGCCTCGTAACATAAGACTTGGCTTATCAAGTGACGGCTTCAATCCATTCCGGACCATGAGCTTATCACACAGTACATGGCCTGTCATGATGGTAGTATACAACTACCCTCCTTGGTTGTCCATGAAATCTGAATATACAATGTTGTCATTGTTGATTCCTGGGCCACAATCACCGGGGAATGACATTGATGTGTACCTTCAGCCATTAATTGAGGAGTTAAAGGAGTTATGGGAATTAGGAGTAGACACATATGATGCCTCAAAAAATCAAACATTTAAACTTCGTGCAGCACTCCTATGGACAATTAGTGATTATCCTGGGTATGCTATGTTATCAGGTTGGAGCACCAAAGGAAGGTTTGCATGTGCGTGTTGCAATCATAACACAGAATCATCATATTTAAAAAATAGCCACAAGATGTGCTACATGGGTCATCGTGTCTTTTTACCAATGAGCCATGCTTGGAGGTTAAATAAAAGGTCCTTCAATGGAAAGAAAGAACTTAGGTCTGCCCCTTCTTTGTTAAAAGGGACAGATATTTTGGAAACCTTGAAAGATTTTCGGAATAAGTTTGGTAAAACAAAAAAGAAGAAAAAAGATGGTCCATGGAAGAAAAAATCAATATTTTTTGAGTTACCTTATTGGGCTGAAAATACATTACGTCATAATCTTGATGTGATGCACATTGAAAAAAATATATTTGATAATATTATTGGAACTCTTTTAGACATACCAGGGAAGACAAAAGATCACGTTAATGCTCGTTATGATTTGAAAGACATGGGAATAAGAAAGAAGCTTCATCCAAAAGAGATTGGTGGAGGTCGTGCAGAGATTGCAAAATCTTGTTTTTCAATGAGTGCACGTGAGAAGACTATTTTTTGTGGTGTTTTAAAGGCTGCCAAATTACCAGATGGGACTGCATCAAACATTTCAAAGTGTGTGCAAGTTAGTAATAAGAAAGTGTTTGGCTACAAGAGTCATGACGCACATTTCATGTTACATTACTTATTACAAGTAGCAGTAAGAGGCACCATGCCCAATGCAGTGGCTGAACCTCTAATTCGCTTAGGGTCATTTTTCCGCTCTTTGTGTAAAAAAGTTATCCGAGAGCAAGATTTGAATTTCTTAGAAGCTGAGATTGCAGATATCCTCTGTCAACTGGAGATGATTTTTCCTCCAAGTTTTTTTGATATAATGGTTCACTTGCCTATTCATTTGGTAAATGAAGTTAGATTGGGCGGTCCAGTTCAATTTCGTTGGATGTATCCCACTGAAAGAAACTTATGCAAACTTAAAAGTTATGTTCGTAATAGAGCTCATCCTGAAGGATCTATTGCTGAGGCATATTTGGCTGAAGAAGCTTTGACTTTTTGCTCAAGATACTTGCATGACAATGTAGACACAAGGTTAAATAGAAAGAGTCGAAATTATGACAATAGTGACTTGTGTGATATGGATTTAAGCGATTACTTTTCATGTATTGGTCGTTCCTTATGTGGGAAGAAAAATGGTAAACCATTTTTTCTAGATTCAACTACAAAATCCCAAGCCCACCGATACCTTTTGTTCAATTGTGATGAGGTTAACACATTCATCAGGTACCATAATATATTAAGTTCATTTATAAAACACACACACACACACACACACACACACACACACACACATTAGTGTTATTTTCTAATAGATGGTAAGTTATATTTGTAGGGAGCATGATGATATTGTCAATAGTCAAACTAAAGGACGGAGGTGGGTCAAGGCCAAAACCCAAAGTCACGATTTTAGTGAACGGTTTAAAACTCGAGCCTTGAAAGATGATGTATCAATTCAGCTGAAAGATTTCTCTAGAGGTCCATGTGATACAGCAAAGAGGTTTTCAGGCTACCTCATCAATGGATATAGATTCCATACTATGAAACGAGATGCAAGACGCAAAACTCAAAATTCAGGTGTAACTTTGGTTTCATTGACTCCAAGTTTTGCAAGCTCTAAGGATGAAAATCCTAGGATGAAAGCTGTAACTTATTATGGAGCAATTAGAGATATAATTGAGTTAGACTATTACTCTCAATTCAACATTGTTTTGTTTGAATGTGATTGGTTCGAGGCAGAAGAAGACAAATATGGGCTTACTTGTGTATATTTCAACAAAAAATGTTACCAAAATGATCCTTTTGTTCTACCATCTCAAGTGCATCAATGTTTCTATATCCAAGATCCACTTGATGAAAGTAGGCAGTATGTCATGAAAACAGATCCTAGAGATTTATATAGTATGGGTGACCTATCAGATTCAATGGTCCAAGAATCTTATCAAAGTGATCCTTTCGATGGTGAACTTAATTGGGTTAGAGAAGATATACCTGGAATAATTGTTGATAAGCCTCCATCTTTTATGGAAGAAGCAAGATATGAAGATGATTATGATTTTGACAATACTTTGTTGGACTAGTAGAGCGATGGGGTCTAAGTCATTCATTTTATTTACTGTTTTGCATCAATGTGAAAATTTGGAAGTAAGTTTTTTCATAGATATGATTTCATATATATGATAAATTTAATGGTAAAATGCTTACTGTTTTGTATCAATGTGACTTCTCTTGTCCATTTTTGTCTATCTCTAAATGTTTTTTATGTTTAAATATTTTATAGGACAAATGAACAAGGAAGAAAACAAGAAAAATATGAAGTGTCATGTGAAAGGTCAGAGGGGTGCTTCCAGTTTTGAGCTACCACTGGTCAAATCAAGTTTTGAATTGGCAAGAAATTTCAGCATCAAACTGGAGGAAAGAAAGACCAAACATGGAAAAATATGTGCACCTATAACAGAACTTGAAACAGAAGTTGAAGCTCTTAGGAACAAAAAAAACCAGCCATTAACTACTCCACAATTCAAGTTATCTATGTTTGCAGCAACTTCCAACAAAGATCCTGAGCCAAAGAAAAATGTTTTAGATAATGCAAGTAGGACTAAACTACCTAACACTCATGCTGAAAAAAGTATAGAGAGGGAAGTATCTTTAAAAACAAACAAAGGATTGAAGATTCAAGATCCAAAAGATCAATCTTTGATTTCTAAAAGGAATCAACCTTTAGTTTCTAAAATCCAAAATTCAAAAGGACAGTCTTTGTCTCAAGTTAGAAGATTTATGCCTATGCATATTCAGGTTCCAAATAGGCAATCCATGAAAAAGACGGTAATTGGAGATGAGTCAAGGGAAAAACATGAAATTAACAATAAGAGTCAACAACAAAAAAAGAAAATGTTTGGAAATGACATTTCAAGGGCAAAAGATCAACAGAAGAAAATGGTAGTGGCTGAAGAGGAATCAATGGCAAGGCAACAAAGTGCTTGAAAGAAGACAAAAAGAAGTCCTTTGTGCCAATCAATGTTAATTGGTGACTTTCTTGAAAAAATGGAAGAGATGTTGAGAAGGAGATGGAAAATTTAATTGAAGATGAGGAAAACATTGTTCTAGAAGAACAAGAACAAGAAGAAAATGTGGAATGTGAGGGAGACGCAGAAAAAAATGGTGATGTTTCATTTTATTTAATTTATTTTATTACTCATATGTGTGTATATTTGATAATTTATCTTACATTATATTATTTGATGTCAAAACAGGGACAACTAAGAAAAGAACACGGGGACCAACTTGTTGTTTAAAAATATATGCAAGAGATGTAAAAGACCGTCAAGAAGTTACTCTAGATGACTTTGGAGAGCCAATTGGACCTGATGACCAAACTGTTTCTGACTTAGGCTATTTCCTCGGAACTATAGCAAGGAATGCAAATTTTTGTCCATTGATCTATACAAATTTCAAAGAGTTGCTTAAAGATGAAACAGATCCTAAGCGTCATAATTATCATATTTGGAAATATGTTAATGTATGAGAAGTAAAATTTCATAATTTTTTAATGATCAATTATCTATAATTGATGACAAACATTGTTTTATTCTTGCAGACGAAGTTCAACATTCCTGAGAGAGGAAAAAAAGCAGTGTATGCTCGAATAAACGATGCTTGGAGACGCCACAAATACTCTATCAAGAAAGATCATTTTCTAAAGTACTCTAATATGAAGGATAGATTAAAACACCATCCAAAGAGCATATCTGAAGTTCATTTCAAGAAATTGTTAGTATATTGGAAAGATACTCATATTCAAGTAAGTTATTTATCTCTGCTGTCATAACTTTAGTACATGCTCTTTTGTGTTGGATTTTGGTTTTCAAATCTGGACTTGGAGGCAGAGGTGTTGCTCTAGCAAATTCTATATCTCTGCTGTCATAACTCTGTTTTCATATTCTCGGTGGCTCTGAAATTTGAACATAGAAACAATAAAGATTTTTACATTATTTTGTAAATTTATTTGGTTTTAGCTTATGTATTTTGAAAGAGAGCCTTGCCACAACTATTCTAGTTAAAGTTTGATTATTTATGTTTCGTCAAAAGCACACTTGGTGGTAATTATGGAATACCTAAAGTAAACTATAACATAAGACAGTGAGAATATTATAGATACTTATTAAGAAATTGTGTTAGTTGTTAATCATGTGTGTGTTTGTGTGATGAGCTATATCTTATCATGAACTATTTGCTAAATCTTATTTATAGTGAATTATAAGTTGTTTGTCATTTTTGGCTAACAACCCAATTTTTATTTTATTTTTATTATAGGATATTAGCCAAAAGAATGCAGCTAATAGGAGCAAGCAAAAGTTTATGCATCGTGTAGGACCGACAAATTTTGCTAGAATTCGTGCAAAAATGGTATGGTATTTGTGTGTGATTCTCAATAGTATAATGTGTTTTTTCAATCTCTTATTAACTAATATTTTGTATTTTTAATATATGAATAATAATGTAGCGGGAAAACAAGGATGGACAAGAAGTCACTCAAGCTGAGATGTTTATTGAAACTCGAAAAAGTCGCAAGGGAAAACAAGTGGATGAGGAAACCCAATTTGTGATTGTAAGTTAAATTAAATCCATTTTAATTGCACATGTAGTTTTTAATTTTGTTCAAAATTGATAGTTTGATATATTAGGATAAACTTCAAAAATCTATTGAAACTTCAACTGAAGCTGGAACACAAACATTTCAATCACTGCTTGGAAAAGAAAAACCCGGTAGAGTGAGATGTTATGGAAGAACTGTTACACCATCATTGTTGAAAAAAAATGAAGAAATTTCTTTGATAAAAATGCAATATGATGGTAAAATTTCTGACATGAATCAAAAGATGGGAGCAATGGAGGCACTTTTGAAAAGCATGTATATGCAACAAAATCCACATTTAAGTGAAGAGGAAGTAAACAATAAGATGAGAGAAGCCTTGCACAATGATAATATTCCAACACCGCGCTCATCGACATCAACCTACGCTCCTGCTCATCAAAAGGTACTACAATTGATATTAATTAAAATTGGCATTTATTTTACTAAGTGTTGAGTTGGTATTTCTTTAGTATACTAATTTATGTTGCTTATATCAAGTTCTCCCCTAGGATTAGTTAGTATTTTCTTACCAAATTTTGTAACTATGTCCATCATACTACCAATTTTTACAAATTCTGCTATGCTCAATGGTTGAAAAAAGTTGCATCTTCAATCAGTTCACTATGTGAAGTCTTTTAGGCTTTGGTAGCAAAAGTTGCATCTTCATGTTAACTTAATAAGCATAGTTGTAAATTCTCCAAGTTTCTGCAATACCTACCATGCAGTCTATGCATACTTGTGAATATCTACTGCTGTCGGTAATTTTAATTATGCTTTAAACATTAATCTTCTAAAACATATGAAAACTTCCGTAGAATAAAAGTTATATAATAAAAAAAATCATACAAATCAAATCAAAAGATTATATTTTATAAAGCAAATTATAAATATATAAAAATATATTTGTATTTAGATAAATATATTATTAAAAAATATCCATGCATAGTATGTATCATTAATATGTAGATTTGGGACATGGGTCTTCGTGGTAAGTACCAGCCTGGTTTGTTGTCGTTATTAATTTGTGATTGTATTTGCTTTTACAAACTACTACAAGTACATATATAGTACCACCTTCATCAATTAATATCAATATGAATTAGACAAAACTCTATATCGATGTGAAACACAAGAAACATATATATTTGAATTTGGGGCTGTGTTAATTAGAAACATATATATTTGAATTTTCAAACCAGTTGGGATAAAAACGTGTTTGCGTGTATAATCAAAATCCTACTATTAGGTATGAATAATGTCATGATTAATCAGGATATAATTGAGTTAGCTAGGTAGCGTCTATGATAAGATAATATGTATATTAATAGATGCTCTAGGAATAATCTTTCTATACTTGTAATAGTCTTAGAATATTTAAAGAATGAAATGAAACATGTTTGTTTAGTTTAGTATTATGTGTTATGTGTTACTATGTGTTTATTATGTATATGTATGTGAGTATTGTCATTTTTCATGGTCAAAGTAAAAATGTTTAAATTTGACTATTCTTTACAGGTTATAAATGAAGATGATCCTCAAGATGAACAAGATGGCGTTCTCCAAGATGACGACGATCTTCAAGATGATGATGATCTTCATTATGATCTTGATGACGATCTCCAATATGATCAAGATGATGATCTTCAATATGATCAAGTTGACGGTTCTCAAAATGATGATTCTCATGATTCTCAGTATAATGAATATAATGAAGACCTCCACTGATTCAAATATAGACAATTATTTTTTGTTTTATGGAGTTACACAAACCACCTAATTAGTTTATTATATTTCAAAGAGTTTGGATTTATTTAGAAAATATTTGTTCTTACATTTCAAAGTGTTTATTACACTTCATCATATTAATACTTCATATTTATATGTTTTGATTAATTTATACATGTGTTTCTTCTCATTTAATTAATAATATTGACTTATACTATATTAGAATAAAATGAAGGTTTATGGTTGAAATGTATCACCATATAAATGAATAGGAAATTTTTTAATAATTATATCTGTAAGTTTAAAGTTAATTAATATTTATCAAATATTTTTCAATTTATAGGCAACGCTTTTTAAGGGTTGCTTATTAAAAACCGTGGATTTTTCCTAAGTTTTAGCCGCGGTTCTTTAAATGAAATTATAAGTTAGCTACGGTTTTTATTTGTTGCTTTTTTATAACCGTTGTATATTCACGTTTTGGGGACGGTTATTTTGTGTTGTTACTAGAAAACCGCGGCCTAAAAGTACAACTAAAACCGTGGAATTTGATGATTTACGCGACGGTGTTTTTAATCTGTGGTTAAAAATTAAAAAACCGCGCTCTAAAGGAATAGGCAACAGCCGTTTATTCCACGTCTGATAAACCGTCCCCTAAAGGTTTAGGCTACGGTTATTTCACTTTAGGTTGCGGTTTTGAGTTGTTGCCAAAAGTCATTTTTGTTGTAGTGGTTCTATCTAAACAATGAGACCGTCATAAGCTCTCTCTGAGCAATGGACCTCGTTGGACCGAAGTCATACCTGTCACCAATATATAAGAATGCATGAACATATAATGTCAATCACAACTCATAATCAATCAATAACGCCATCTCGTATCTCATAATAATATTCTCTCAGAACAAAGTTCTCTCTAGACAGGGTTCTCTTTGAACTACAATTTGCCAATATAAGGTTATCACTATAATTCTCTTTGAATCACACAACTCATCAATATAATTAAATCTCAAATAATTATATTAAAATTAACATAGCAAAGTTATATTATTACTCAGTAACTCAAAACACATAACAACTCAATTTTTCTCGTCAGCTAATAAAATTACTCAAAAACATATCGACAAAGTAATAGTTTTCCATACTCGCAACTCATCAAGAAGGTAAAAACCCTTATCTTTTACTCAACAAAGTTCTCAAAGGAACACTAAACAACTCTACAACAATCTCTACAACTCTAAACAACTCTAAAGTAATCTAAAGTGCTTGAAAGACAACTCTTGCATGTAAAGATAACTCTTATGAACTCTATTCATTGGAGGTTGGACTCAAATACTAATAAAACAACCCAGGTCACAATTGACTCTCAAATTTATCAAAAGGATAGCGAAAGGTCACTGAACTCAAAATTACTTGAAATTTTCCCAATTGGACTGTGAAACGTTGAAACGCTGCCGAACACCCATCGACACCTGGCCTGCAACTACCACTGTCGTGCAACTCACGGCCACACCCATCATACAACCATCATCGTGGTGGCTCTCCAGCCGCGCGGCCCAACTCTGGCAACCCCGCCTCCCACCGCAACTATCACCAGCGTGACACCCATTTCTGGATGCTTTTGCTGTGTGGCCTCGATTCTGGCCGCTGTCAGTGACCCCCTATCCTAATTTTTTATTTTTTGATGTTCAACTTTTTTCTCAATTTTTTCGACTTTTCGAACATTTTTATGATTTTTCAAGAAAAAAAATGATATTTAGGCTTTCTCATGAAAACATAGGCCATTTGGGATTCTGGTTATTGATAGCTCTGAAGAAAATATCAATTATACAACATAAATAAAGCATACTCAGATTATCAACAAAAGTCCTCAAAAGGGCCAGCCACAAATCAATGACAATAATATCAATAATATCAATCATCTACTCAAACAATTCAATTTAATGTAATATAATCAAATTGTTAATTCAAAAGGGTTTGGGACAAACCCGTTTGGCCACAAACATTCGATCACACAAAATATAGAATAGGGAAGAAGAAGACAATAGGGTTAGGATCTCTCGCCATCCGATTTCCTAAACACCCCATATATGTAGAGTCCCCCCCTTATCTCGAAAGTGATGATCGTTGGGTTTTCCTGTCATTAGGATTCCACCTCACTCTCCTTCCTACGATCGCTCTCCTTAGGTCTTTTTGTCACTTTCCTCTTTTACACAATTTCACGCTCTGTCTTGAAATGCCTTCTAACTTTTCTATTTAAATAACCTAAAAGACTAATCACTTCCCTCACCCTCAAACTCTCTCTACACCCTCATTAAACCTCTATTTCTATTATTTTACTTTTATCATATATTATCTAAATGATTTAAAATAATAATTATTTTATTTATTTCAATAATACAATTATTCACTTAAAATAATAATTCTATTATTCTCGCTAATCCTTACCACACCCTAGATCTTACTACAAATACACTTTATCTTTCTAATTTAATTAAAAAATATATTTTCTCTTAATTCTATCATATCACTAATTTGATTTTTGATAATAATCAAATTACCAAAATACTCATAAATCACACAAAGCACATAAATTACTCAATAACATAGAATAAATTAATATAAACTTCAATTAAAATAATTAACTAAAGTCGGGTTGTTACAACTCTCCCCCATTTAAAAGTGTTTGGCCCTTGAAAATTACTTGGCGAATACATCTTCGGATAAGACTCTCTCATTCGAATCTCCAGCTCCCAAATCATGCTCCCTCCAATAGGTCCTCCCCACACTTCCTTCACTAGAGAAATCTTTTTACCTCTTAGATGATTCACTTTTTGATCCTCGATCCGCAAAGGTGAAGCCTCAATAGTCAAGTTATCTCTCACTTGCACATCTTCCATTTGGACCACATAAGATGGATCATGAATATACTTATGAAGTTGCGTGAACCATGCATTTCCAGATTTCCAACAACATGAAATAGAGTTACCCATGGCCAAAAATCCAAAAATTTAACACCCAATTATCACAACACACATCCAAACATCCAATACACATAGTATAATATGGTAGTGCATGAATTTCATCATATGACAACATTCAACTTCCATTTAACATATTTTCAAACAAAACTTAAATTCCCAAAATGTCTTTTTCTTCCCTCCCAAAGTTATACTATCTAATAGAACTCGCCTCTGATGAAGAAAATGGATGAATTAATGATGAAGATGATGAGTTTAAGAGCTTTTATTTCTCTTCCATGAGCTTCTCTTCTTCTTTTCCTTTTCTCTTCTTCTTTTCTTCTTTCTCTCTTCTTACTGACTTTCTTCTTTCTCTTTCTATTTCATTCCACCATATATATATATATATATATATATATATATATATATATATATATATATATATATATATATATATATATATATATATATATATATATATATATATATATATATATATATATATATATATACATATATATATATATATATATATATATATATATATATATATATATATATATATATATATATATATATATATATATATATATATATATATATATATATTATAAAGACATAAATATCTCCATTTGATATATATGTCATCTACAAAAATTTATCTAATATTAGAGTTACCAAAACATCCTCTCTTATACCTATTAATATCGGTCTGTCTCTTTTATCCATAATTGATCTCTTTTATCACTAGTTACTCTATTAGTTCCAACTGATGACACATATAGCACTTAAAAGCTTCAATTAATCAAACTGACACCCAATTAAGCATTTAAGGGAAATATGGGGTATTACACTATCCCCCCTTAAATTGAAATTCACCCTCGAATTTCCTCTTCTCAACAATAATCAGTTCTCGCACCACCGTCACGGATTAACAATTAACTTAACTTCAGTTAAAACTTTTGACGTACTCGATTCTTTTCAACTTATCTTCACAAATAAAAATCATTTTTATTACAATTTCTAAATTTCACGGTCTCGACCATACTCTTGTTCAAACGTGTGGTTAACTTCTAACTTTTCTTTTTCTTAATTCATCTATCCTGCTATTCTGAAACACTTGTTCACATTCTACTTTTGGGATTTATAACTCCATACTCTCCTAATGAATCACAAAACAAAACCACAATACCTTCTCTTAGCTTGGGATAAACAACCCTCATCATATATTCGCGAGACAATTCAATTATTCTTTATCTTCAAGCATACACTAAAGGTTCTCTTTCTTACTGAAAGTTCATGCTGTTTGAATAAATTTTGGTAAAACTTGTTGAAGAACAAGATGATCAAACATGAAGAGTTTTGTAGATAACAAAGATGTCGAATGAGATGTCCTAGCATAAAGACTCGACATCATGACTGGCTCAGCAGGTTTTATTTTTAAATTTGATCCATGATTCAAGATACGTTTAGTAGTGGATCAAATAAATAGAAGATTTGAAGCCAAGACTGCAGGAGATTATAAAAGGAAGACCTAGACCTAGGGATGGATAACAAATCTCTTGTAACACTTTTGTAAAGGGAAATAAGGGTTTAGGATTTTGAGAGTCGTAGGCTTTCTTGTGTTGTAAGTTTCCCCTTGTATTGGTTGGATACATTGTGGTAGACATAGATGTTGATACATATTTAGAAACCTATAGGTAATGAATTGTGTATTGATCTCGGATGAAGCTTTTAAGAAAATCTAATAGAATTCGAGAAGGATTGTTAGTCAAGGTTGCTTGGTTGAACTTTGTATTGAAAGAGGTGTTTTCAAGTAGGATGATGCAGTTATTGTGACTATAACTGTTAGATATCACATGTAGTGATTAAGGGAGTGAGATGGGTTTCTCTTATCAATTAGATGTGACTTTTAATGATAAAGTTTTCATTGGGTAGTGATAGGTAAACTGGAGGTTGTTTACTGTAAACCAGAGGTTGTTTACAAAAAATTATAGTACTGATAGTGGATTCTTCTTCCTGGCTTGGTAGCCCCCAGATGTAGGT